TTAGACAGCTGCTACGGGCTGCTTCCTGGTGGGTAACAAAAAGGAGGCCTGGTCGAGGACCGGGCCGCGAAGACGCTAAGCCCCGAAATCATCTGATGAGGGAGATGAGGTCTGCTGACGTCAGCAGAACTAAAGAAAATGTCTGCATCTTGAGATTCATATAACACCGTAAAGGTGTTTTAATATATGCATAGACAGGTGTTTTAATATATACATAGACAGGTGTTTTAATATATGCATAGACAGGTGTTTTAATATATGCATAGAAAGGTGTTTTAATATATGCATAGAAAGGTGTTTTAATATATGTATAGAACAGGAGTCACAGATAAGATTTCGAGGATCGCCAGGTTGGCGGCTCCTAGTAATTAAGAAACTCTCACCTCTAAGTGTTAATGACCACCAGGTGACCAAGGTCAGGTCACGGGAAGTTGACCTGGTCTCCGCTGAGCTCATAATTACAGGCGGCTGGCCGAGGGTGACCTTCGAACAAGCCGCCAGTTTAAGGTGAGGCTTGGTAGAGGGCTATCTACATGTGGGCTATCTACATATCTACATATGTGGCTATCTACATATCTGGGGCTATCTACATGTGGTCGGAGTTAGCTAGTTGGTCACCAATATATACTGAGGGAGCTGTAGATTCGACAGGGATAAGCAGTAGGTCAACAGAGACAGACAGCAGAACCGACAGGCTGTCAGTCGGACGGGGCGGGACAGTCTGTCAACTACAGTCCTCACCTCTCTATCCAGCTATAGGCAGACACTTGGTGAGTTGAACATGAAAAGTGACATAGTCGTTTTAACTAGTGTTGTGTGGCTATCAGGGGGCAGACGGATGTAGTGGTTTCGAATTCTGGTGTAGTGACTCACATTGTACATTAATAATGAGTTCTCTGGAGTCGTGAGGAGCTGATCATATAACTCTCATAACTGTTATGGGAGTTATAAGTTCTTCTCTGGTGGTTCATCTGTTCACTCCAGCCGCAGCTGTTATTCACTTGTTCACTCCAGCCGCAGCTGTAATGTTGTTCACTTGTTCACTCCAGCCGCAGCTGTAATGTTGTTCACTTGTTCACTCCAGCCGCAGCTGTAATGTTGTTCACTTGGGATTATGAGGGTAAAGCACCAAGCCATCACGACTATATAGCACTGGGAAGGGGCCAGGATAAGGATTTGGGATGGGACGGTGGGAAAGGAATGGTGCCCAATCACTTGTATGGACGGTCGGGGATTGAACGCCGACCTGCATGAAGCGAGACCGTCGCTCTACCGTCCAGCCCAAGTGGTTGGGCATCTCCATTAGCAGCTGGTCTAAGAAAGTGCCGTGAGTATTCCTTTCTTCGTTGTAGCGGAAATATAATTTCTTTCTGACGTCCGACAGTTCGATTCAATCTCAGGGCCTCAGTACCTATAACAGTGTTCACCAGGGCCTCAGTACCTATAACAGTGTTCACCAGGGCCTCAGTACCTATAACAGTGTTCACCAAGGCCACGGTACCTATAACAGTGTTCACCAGGCCCTCAGTACCTATAACAGTGTTCAACAGGGCCTCAGTACCTATAACAGTGTTCACCAGGCCCCCGGTACCTATAACAGTGTTCACCAGGCCCTCAGTACCTATAACAGTGTTCACCAGGGCCACGGTACCTATAACAGTGTTCACCAGGGCCACGGTACCTATAACAGTGTTCAACAGGGCCTCAGTACCTATAACAGTGTTCACCAGGCCCCCGGTACCTATAACAGTGTTCACCAGGGCCACGGTACCTATAACACTGTTCACCAGGGCCACGGTACCTATAACAGTGTTCACCAAGGCCACGGTACCTATAACAGTGTTCACCAGGGCCTCAGTACCTATAACAGTGTTCACCAGGGCCTCAGTACCTATAACACTGTTCACCAGGGCCCCGGTACCTATAACAGTGTTCACCAGGGCCTCAGTACCTATAACACTGTTCACCAGGGCCCCGGTACCAATAACAGTGTTCACCAGGGCCTCAGTACCTATAACACTGTTCACCAGGGCCCCGGTACCTATAACAGTGTTCACCAGGGCCCCGGTACCTATAACAGTGTTCAACAGGGCCCCGGTACCTATATCAGTGTTCACCAGGGCCCCGGTACCTATAACAGTGTTCACCAGGGCCTCAGTACCTATAACACTGTTCACCAGGGCCCCGGTACCTATAACAGTGTTCACCAGGGCCTCAGTACCTTTAACAGTGTTCACCAAGGCCACGGTACCTATAACAGTGTTCACCAGGGCCTCAGTACCTATAACAGTGTTCACCAGGGCCACGGTACCTATAACAGTGTTCACCAGGGCCCCGGTACCTATAACAGTGTTCACCAGGGCCACGGTACCTATAACAGTGTTCACCAGGGCCCCGGTACCTATAACAGTGTTCACCAGGGCCCCGGTACCTATAACACTGTTCACCAGGGCCTCAGTACCTATAACAGTGTTCACCAGGGCCTCAGTATCTATAACAGTGTTCACCAGGGCCCCGGTACCTATAACAGTGTTCACCAGGGCCACGGTACCTATAACAGTGTTCACCAGGGCCACGGTACCTATAACAGTGTTCAACAGGGCCTCAGTACCTATAACAGTGTTCACCAGGCCCCCGGTACCTATAACAGTGTTCACCAGGGCCACGGTACCTATAACACTGTTCACCAGGGCCACGGTACCTATAACAGTGTTCACCAAGGCCACGGTACCTATAACAGTGTTCACCAGGGCCTCAGTACCTATAACAGTGTTCACCAGGGCCTCAGTACCTATAACACTGTTCACCAGGGCCCCGGTACCTATAACAGTGTTCACCAGGGCCTCAGTACCTATAACACTGTTCACCAGGGCCCCGGTACCTATAACAGTGTTCACCAGGGCCTCAGTACCTATAACACTGTTCACCAGGGCCCCGGTACCTATAACAGTGTTCACCAGGGCCCCGGTAACTATAACAGTGTTCAACAGGGCCCCGGTACCTATAACAGTGTTCACCAGGGCCCCGGTACCTATAACAGTGTTCACCAGGGCCTCAGTACCTATAACACTGTTCACCAGGGCCCCGGTACCTATAACAGTGTTCACCAGGGCCTCAGTACCTATAACAGTGTTCACCAAGGCCACGGTACCTATAACAGTGTTCACCAGGGCCTCAGTACCTATAACAGTGTTCACCAGGGCCACGGTACCTATAACAGTGTTCACCAGGGCCCCGGTACCTATAACAGTGTTCACCAGGGCCACGGTACCTATAACAGTGTTCACCAGGGCCCCGGTACCTATAACAGTGTTCACCAGGGCCCCGGTACCTATAACACTGTTCACCAGGGCCTCAGTATCTATAACAGTGTTCACCAGGGCACCGGTACCTATAACACTGTTCACCAGGGCCCCGGTACCTATAACAGTGTTCACCAGGGCCCCGGTACCTATAACAGTGTTCACCAGGGCCACGGTACCTATAACACTGTTCACCAGGGCCACGGTACCTATAACACTGTTCACCAGGGCCACGGTACCTATAACAGTGTTCACCAGGGCCTCAGTACCTATAACAGGCTTATTAACGGTTCTCCATAAAATAACAATAAATTTAGGCTCGTATCCCCTTGAATTTTCTTCCCAGGACGCCGGCAGCCAATCGCGGCTCAGCTATCAAGTGAGTTTTCAAGCCAGCAGCCAATCGGCGCCGTGCTCACATATGAGGTGCTCGCGCCGGCAGCCAATTAGCTATGCTAGATGAAGTGTCTTCTCGCGAAGTGATAGCCAATCCGCGCCGGGGAAATCGCCCGCGAATGAGCAATTATTGAAAACGGGGCCGCGAGGCTGATCAGGTCGTTGGAGACTGGGGGAGAATTGGCGCCTATTGGGCAATGTTGACATCGGTGTTGTCAGCTGTCTAGGTCTGTCTGTCTGTCTGTCTACTGAGGTTACGAGATTGATAAAGATTAATTTCTAGTTGCAATTCTTTTGGCTATGTCGTAGCTCAGTCGATTAAGGCAGCGTCTGGGATACTCTCAGACGTAGGTTCGAATCCTCGTCACGGCCCTTATGGATTTGTTCATTTGATGAAGATTAAGCCATCCAGGAAGTGGCACGGGCATGAATAGCCCGTAATCGCTTACAAGATTGTTGTTATAGATTCAGCTACTGGGAACAAAAAGTTCCAAGTAGCACGGACTATGGTGAGCCCGTAGTGGTACTGACAAAGTACATATAGAAGCAATGTTCAAGTTAAAGAACAGTAGAACACATGTACTGGGAACTGGCAAGAGAGAGGAGTGACAGTGATGTCAGAAAGAACTTTGTCAGTCTCAGAATCTTATATATAAGCAGAACCGGACTGGAAGAGGAAGCTATAGAAACCAATTCAAGACACAATTTAAAATATTAATATGATAACAAAATCGAATGAAAAGAGGTGGGGGGGGGTTACCTTACCTTGAGGTTACCTTGAGGTGCTTCCGGGGCTTAGCGTCCCCGCGACCCGGTCGTCGACCAGGCCTCCTGGTTGCCGGACTGATCAACCATGCTGTTGGACGCGGCTGCTCGCAGCCTGACGTACGAATCACAGCCGTACGGGGGGTCACAGCATTAGACTAATGATGGTCGGAAGACCGGGGCTTAGGAACTGAAGCTCGACCCTGCAGGCTCATCTAAATGAGCACATATATATATATATATATATATATATATATATATATATATATATATATATATATATATATATATATATATATATATATATATATAATTACATGCCATACAACAAGCTTCCTATACAAGGAACGTCATTCCAGTATTAACCGCTTGGACGGTCGGGGGATTGAACACCGACCTGCATGAAGCGAGACCGTCGCTCTACCGTCCAGTCAAAGTGGTTGGGCAACAATGAGTCAAGCTATTGACATTGCTGTGTTTTCTTTTAATTTCAGATGTGTGAAGTTGGAAACTAATTAAGATGTTGATTTGTTTCAGGTGTGGCTGAAGATGGAGTGAGGCACACATCTATGACGCTTCAAGGTAATGTCTCTCTCTCTCAACTTTGTTGTTCTTGTATAGCCCCTCGACTCAAGTCCATTCCATCCAGCGGTCGATCCCACAAACCAATTCAGAAATTTTTACACGCTGTTCATTCAAAACAGGAATTTTCTTAAATATAAATTAATATTATAATATATTAGCCTATTGTACATATATAGTTTAGGTTAGTTTAGGTTAGGTTAGGTGTTTAGGTTCTGTTGGCGATTATTTGTATTTGTAGTACGTGGGTGAAGCATTTACAGCGTTGTGGTTCGAACACCAGTCGTCAGTGAAGCACTTGTTCCGGAAGTGTTCGGACGTCATCACTTGTGAGTCGTGTGTAAACCGTTTTGCATTCATAAACAGGGGGTTTGGCGGGTGGATGGAATGGTCATTGGGTCTTTGTTTGGAGGACGGTCTGATATATACCTTACACCTGCTACACCTGTCCACCTGATGTACACGTGTTTGTGAGTCCTGGTCTCATCTCGAAGCAGCATTCACGAAGCAGTTACGCAAGCACTTACGAACCTGGGGCCAGATTCACGAAGCAGTTACGCAAGCACTTACGAACCTGTCCATCTTGTCTCAATCTTTGGCGGCTTTGTTTACAATTATTAAACAGTTAATGAGCTCCGAAGCACCAGGAGGCTGTTTATAACAATAACAACAGTTGATTGGCAAGTTTTCATGCTTGTAAACTGTTTAATAAATGTAACCAAAGCCGTCAAAGATTGAGGAAAGATGTACACGTTCGTAAGTGCTTGCGTAACTGCTTCGTGAATCTGGGCACAGGTTCGTAAGTGCTTGCGTAACTGCTTCGTGAATTTGGCCGCTGGCATTGATTAGGCGACTACTGGCCATGTCTTCTTGATCCAGCGAGTCATCGCCGGAAAGATAACCTAGGCAGAAAGGTTATCGCTCGCTGCCTCACCCTCGTTATCTGTGTTCGTTATTGGTTATCTCACTCGGCGCGGTCTGTGGACCGACACAAATCCATACTGTCTACCGATAACCGCCGGAACCACCATTGACGGAGATAACCTAACCTAACCTAACCTAACCTAACCTAACCTAACCTGACCTAACCTAACCTAACCTAACCTAACCTAACCTAACTTAACCTAACCTAACCTGGCCTGACCTGACCTGATCTAACCTGACCTAACCTAACCATACCTAACCTAACCTAACCTAACCTAACCTGACCTAACCTAACCATACCTAACCTAACCTGACCTAACCTGACCTAACCTAACCTGACCTGACCTAACCTAACCTAACCTAACCTAACCTAACCATACCTAACCTAACCTAACCTGGCCTGACCTGACCTGATCTAACCTGACCTGACCTAACCTAACCTAACCTGACCTAACCTAACCTAACCTGACCTAACCTGCCCTAACCTGACGTAACGTAACCTAACCTAACCTTCTTGTTGTTGAAGGGCTGGGACCTCTCAGAGACTACCACTATTATCTCGATGCTGTTGCCCAGTGGATCCCTTCCTGAGGATTACCACTGCAAGCAATTGCACGGGAACTCTCTCTGTTGACAACTATACTACAGCACTGACCAACACACACATTGTATAAACGTCAGTGAGGAGAATAAATTGTAGCACTGCACTATACAATTGACTATGTAGCTGTGGGGGAGACTCTCACTATTGGGACTTCACTGTTCACCGCTGGGGGATAAGAGACAGAGGTCGTCCTTGGAGTAACAACTTCACTGTACTCCTTACCTCAGGTCCTACTCCTATATGTTCTGACCATCTACATATTCCTCTCTTATACATAGTAAGAGTCGTACTCCAACCTCTGGTAATATGTAAGACGGGCCCTAATGTGCATTTTTTATAACGGGTTATTTTCAGTGCTTCCGTGAGCCTTGAGAGCGAGGGGTCACTCTCAGACTTGTGTTATGTGAAGACTAAATGAGACTTTTTCCCCCCATGCCTGACACGGGGCCCCCAAGCACTCCTGAAAGTCTCAACCCAGCTTGCAACTGACGAATTACTGCTTAGTTCAGGAGCTGGACGGCCACTCACCATGAAGTCTTAGGGCACACTGACACCTCTCTGACCAATGGGACCCTTTGCAGCTCCTCCTCACTGGTGAAACTTCGAGCTACCTGTTGATTGGTCAGTTTGAACAACATGCAGCCAATGATCTTCTCTTTCTTCATCCTGGTACTTTCCACCGAGCCTTCAGATACGACGACACTTCAATCCGCCATCTTGGAAAATGGCCACTGGTCTTCCTCTCCACATTTTAAGACAAATTTATCTAAACTTTTGCCGCTGCATACTTTCTGTATGAAGATGGAAGTGGGAGAATGACTCCTGAACTCGAGAGAGGTAGATAATGAGATGGTATTCCTAACAGCACGTCCCTACCACTCTGAAAATTAAGAATCGTTCTCCTGGAACCAATCGTATTGGCGTTTACCTTTCCATTGGAGACTTTAGGCGCCGTGGAGACCGAGGACCTGCTGCATGGGTAACAGCTTCTCCGTATCAACCTACCCTGGCTTTGCGCCCTGGAGAAGCCCCACCAGACCGACAACCAGAGCCCAACTCCATAGTCTCCTGAGACTGATGGATGCCGGCTACTACTACTCTGCTTCGTATAAGCATTCATTCAGCCTCCTTAGAGGCGACGTTGATGTGCTTCATCTGCAGGTCGTATACTGGTCTTAGCACCTCGTCTTATGCACCAAGGAGAGAGGTTATGGCCTGCCAACACCTGGAGCGCGGTGCTCAACACCTCTCATGGACACGACAAAGTGTTTCAAGCTCAACACAACGACAATGATTGGCACTTGAAAACTTTCAGGAAACTTGACGACACGGCTCGCTGCGTCTCATTCTTGTGCCAACACCTCACACCTACGACCACCTGACGAGTAATTACCGTACAAGATGAACTGCTTCATGTGACGGGTGACAGAATGGGGGTCTTCTGTCGGGCAGTTTCTCCAACCTCTGGCACACGCCACACGTCTTGACAGCAATCTGGTGAGTGCTGTCAAATGCCAAATTCCTGTAGAATTTTCAATAGTCAGTTGTCCTTCCAAGGTGCCTCAGGAGCTTCTTAGGGTTCTGGGGCACTTGGGGGTGGATGGTAGAGCGACGGTCTCGCTTCATGCAGGTCGGGATTCAATCCCCCGACCGTCCACAAGTGGTTGGGCACCATTCCTTTCTGTTCAACGCCAGGTGTCTCTGTTCAACGTCAGGCGTTCCCTGTTCAACGCCAGACGAACATATTGCCCGCTGGTCGGCCGCAAGTTGGTAGATTTTGTACCAACTTAAACAAAAAATTTCGGGCAGTAAAAATAAATTCCAAAGTGTTTTATTTCTTACAATAATATGTAAATATATATATATATATATATATATATATATATATATATATATATATATATATATATATATATATATATATATATATATGGTTCCTGTGTTAAAGTACTGACATATTCAGTGTTAGGAGCCTTGCAAGAAGTCCAAGGTGTCTTCCTCGGTCAAAGGCGCCTGCAATGTTGAATGCAACAGCTCGTCTGATCTTGGAGTCGTCCAGTGATTGATGATTGTGATTGATGATTGATTGAAAACTTCTCTGGTGGAGAAGTTTTAAAGGAACATCAGTAGCTGAATGACCTTTCCTGAAGCAGTGTTGTCATCTTGAGACTTTTCCTGAAGCTGTGTAGTCATCTTGGGACCTTTCCTGAAGCTGTGTTGTCATCTTGGGACCTTTCCTGAAGCTGTGTAGTCATCTTGGGACCTTTCCTGAAGCTGTGTTGTCATCTTGGGACCTTTCCTGAAGCTGTGTTGTCATCTTGGGACCTTTCCTGAAGCTGTGTAGTCATCTTGGGACCTTTCCTGAAGCTGTGTTGTTATCTTGGGACCTTTCCTGAAGCAGTGTTGCCATCTTGGGACCTTTCCTGAAGCAGTGTTGCCATCTTGGGACCTTTCCTGAAGCTGTGTTGTCATCTTGGGACCTTTCCTGAAGCTGTGTTGTCATCTTGGGACCTTTCCTGAAGCTGTGTAGTCATCTTGGGACCTTTCCTGAAGCTGTGTTGCCATCTTGGGACCTTTCCTGAAGCTGTGTTGTCATCTTGGGACCTTTCCTGAAGCTGTGTTGTCATCTTGGGACCTTTCCTGAAGCTGTGTTGTCATCTTGGGACCTTTCCTGAAGCTGTGTAGTCATCTTGGGACCTTTCCTGAAGCTGTGTTGTCATCTTGGGACCGTCAAGCCCTTCAAGATGACAAAGAAGCTGTAGCTCTGGTTAATGCTGCATCTTAACGGAGCATCATCATCGTCGCACTCTCATGTTTGTCTCCCTCACACACCTGGGCTGCAGGTGTGTGTGTCTCCTTCACACACCTGCAGCACCGTTGCACTCTTTCTGCTCACCGAGGTCTTGCAACTATGCATTAAAGAAAAGAAGCAATGTTCTCAGACTTTTACTTACAGGGAGTTGTTCTCTCTCTCTCTCTCTCTCTCTCTCTCTCTCTCTCTCTCTCTCTGTCTCTGTCTCTCTGTCTCTGTCTCTGTCTCTCTCTCTCTGTCTCTCTCTCTCCTCTCTCTCTCTCTCTCTCTCTCTCTCTCTCTCTCTCTCTCTCTCTCTCTCTCTCTCTCTCTCTCTCTCTTTCGTTCTCTCTCTCTCTGTCTCTCTCTCTCTCTCTCTCTCTCTCTCTCTCTCTCTCTCTCTCTCTCTCTCTCTCTCTCTCTCTCTCTCTCTCTTTCGTTCTCTCTCTCTCTCACTCTCTCTCTCTCTCTCTCTCTCTCTCTCTCTCTCTCTCTCTCTCTCTCTCTCTCTCTCTCTCTCTCCCTACAGGGAGCTGCTCTCACTCTCCCTACAGGGAGCTGCTCTCACCTTCCCTACAGCTCCCTGTACTCTCTCTCAGCCAAGAAACTCCACCACCATCATCAAGTTTCCTCTCTACACCATAAACTTGGAATATTTTCCACAGGAATTTTATTCAAACA